TTTTTAAAGAAAGAAGAAAAAAGCCCAGCAGTGGGGGTTTATTTTACATTTAAAAACTTCCCCAAAATTTGTGGTCAAAGACCAAGACGTGTGCACCTGGCTTTAATTGCCTTAAAATGAGAAATTCTATACTTATGGAAGTCAGCAGAGAAAATTGGTCTAACAGGGTTGATTTTGGACTCTGCAGTCTGAAGTGGGAGGACTTTCACTATGTTTGGAATCACTACTATTCCACTGAGCAAAAACTCGTATCAGTGGACCATGGTGGATTTATCGACTTTAAGAGATAACTGTTTCCGTCAGCGGAAACATGGTTTCCTGGGCAGAGGTCCAAAGTCTTTCAGTTTTACCACTCCTCTCATTATCCCTGTGAGAGGAAAAAAAACATTATTTAAGACTCCATGTAATGAATTTCAGTGATTTAGAGATGTTCATGTCTGCATATACAGTCTTGTTTTGTAAATAAACTGTCTGTAAAACAGTAACAGGCTTAATTACTGTAGTGTAGTATAATGGCCACTATGTGCATTTCAGCCCTGTGAGGGAGGTTGCGATTGGACAGGGGGATCCAGAGCTGAATGGAGGAAAACAACTCTCACATTACTCACATTTCTAAAGAGTGAGTCACTTGGTCAAGATAATCCATGAACTGCCAAGTGTTTGCTTCATAATGGCCTCACACCGTCAAGGGCTCCCTCCCTGTCTCTTCTCTTATTCCTCTGTTCGTGGATATCTTTCATCCATACTGTAAAGATGCTATTCGTTTTTCCAGTTTTTTGCTGATGTAGGATCATTAAATACAGATGGAAAGCGAGAAACTCAAACAAAACGTTCCTTAAAAAATTGTAAAGATATTTTAAAGAATTACAGTGGTTTTCCCAAAAAAATTTTTTGTTGTTGACGCTTTGACATTTTCAAGCTTAAAAAGGGAACAAAAGCTGCATGAAAGTATCATAAAACTAGTTAATACAAGAACCAAATCAATAGCTGTGTGAATAAAACACCGTAATTTAAAGGTGACATATCATGAAAATCTGATTTTTCCAGATTTTAAGTGTTATAATCAGGTCCCCGGTGCATCTACCAACCAAGGAAACGTGAAAAAGATTAACCCAGTAACTTTGTTTTGGTAAGCCTTTTTCTGCAAGCGTCCGAGAAAACAAGCATGTCTGATTTCCTCCCTTGGTGAGATTGCAAAGGGATCTCATTATAATATTACCGCCCCTTAATCTGTAAGTTTCCACCCACAGCGCCGTCATTGTGTTTTCGCAAGCGACAACGGTGTACCAGCTCTAATGCCATGGCGAAAGTTTGAGCAAAACATACTAACTGTTCTGCCTTTGTAGCACAGAACACTATTTAGATCTAAAATAAACATGCAATTTATTTCCCAGCAGTTTACCTTCACAGACATAGCCAACTGTTTTTGTAACTTGTGTGTTTTTAACATAAACTTGTGTGTGTGAATGAGAACTTAGTTTAGTACTCACATGCTGTGTGGTGGCCGCTTTCTGTCCGTGGGCTTCGGATGTGTGCTCTCAGAAAACCCTATATCAGAAGTTTAAACTCGTATGGTTTAAAACGCATGATTTCAGCCCGATAAACATGATAATCAGAACCATAACAGATATTTTTAGCAGGTCCGAGCTGTAATGGCACAGTTCTATTCTGGAAAAGGGGGCGGGGAGCAGCAGCTCATTTGCATTTTGAGATTAAACTTCACAGACACATTCTGGTGACACCAGAGACCTATTACATATTGTAAAAAGGGGCATAATATAACTCCTTTAAGTCATTCCACAAAAGAAGGTAAATCATACAGGATTGGAACAACATGAGAGAGAGTAAATTATGACAGAATATTTTTTTTTCTTTTTTTTTGGTAAACTGTTCCTTTTAAATGTAGTGTAATGCCACTCTGTACAAACCAAACCACATGAGTGTGAACTCTTTGATCAATGTATTTGAATTTTAGTTATTTTTCCTCTGTCTCTGTTCTTTTGTTCTCTGGTCCCAGTAGACATGCTTCCTCTTTAGCACTTCAGCCCTGTGGGGGGAAAAAAAGCAGTGGGTTTTTTTGACCCTGTTTCCTTTCAGCATATGTGTGCTTCCTGTACCCCAGTTTTACTGTTTGATTTAGCTTCACTGTTTCCTTACAACTTTGTGCCGTGTGTAATTCTGAAAGGCAGTTTGAGAAGAGGGTTCTTGTACATACCCTAAAATTAGAATTTGCTCTTAAAAATCTGAACATGTGTCTTTGTGAACCTTGGGTGGGCAGAGAGGAAGGCGGGAACAAACCTCAACCACAAAATACTCAATTCACTGACTATCTTGATCCATTTCTAATTTATAGTTTGTACCATACTCAACATCAGTAAAAACATCTCTTTCTCTCTCTTTAGTGTTGGATGATGAAGTTGAGAGGCTTGAGTTTGACGACAGTGGTGATGAAGCCCCAGAGGTGGATCGGCCGCCCCCTGAACCTGAGGGAATCTCTGTGCCTCCTCCCTGCTCATCAACAGCCAGGGACGCACCCATCAATGGAACAAGTCCAAACCCAGAGAACTTACTCACCGCAGAGGCTGATCTGCCCCCTCCACCTCAGGACTGCCCCACTAATAACAGCCCTTTAGCTCTTGCACCCTTCCCACAGTGTGATCTACCCCCTCCTCCTATAGAACTTTGTCACAATGCAGTAGAACGCCAGGACAGAAACCCTTCTCTACCACCAGAGGGCGCTACAGGAGCTGCTGTTGACAGCGAGCAGGACAGTAAGTTTACAGCAGATATTAAAGATGAATTATTTTATCTATGAAATTAATATTAAAATTAATTAGTTAATTCAGCTTTAGAAATCACAAGAGTATGATTATTCTATTGACAGCACTATAGTTTTTTTTTAAGTCTTAATCTCAGATATGCTTAAACTTAATAAACAAAGTATATATTTGCCATGCAATGATTTTATGATTTTATTGACTGCAATTCATTTAGGAAAATTGTATTTAATTTTGTTTTGTGTTCTGTACAATATTACACATAATATTTTTTCTCACACAGTATAAATGGGGTTTTTATGCATGAAAATATATAGTTTCGTTTTATATATATATATATATATATATATATATATATATATATA